GCTGGCTTTATCTCATCTAGATTTGGGGCCAGGGGTCTGTGTTCTCTGTTTATGGGGTCTGGGTTTAGTCTGTCATTGGGTCCAGGGATTGAGGTTAGTAAGTGGCCAGAGTATCAGTTCTTTTTTTTTTCTTTTTTTGAAGAATTATCTTTTTGTTACACAAGAAAGGAAAATATAAATATTTCCCTTTTTTATAAAATAAATATTGCAATTGAGGTTGAGCCCTCAATCTCAGCTTTTTTGTGAGGAAGCCTCTATTACTGGGTCATGTGTGTCCTTCAGAGTTTTGGGGGTGCACCCAGGGGCAATGACAGCAGTTTTAATTGTTAGAGTGTATGTGGTCTTTCTGCACTGAATCAGACATGAATCAGACAGGAAGCTGCCATGCGCAGAGTAGGTTAGATGAATTCATTTATTCATTTGGTTCCTCATTTATTCACTCTGCGTATTTTGTTGAATTCTTTTTTTTAATCTTATTTTTTCAGTTTCCAAGACTCATTGTTTATGCACCACACCCAGTGCTCCATGCAATAGGTGTCCTCCTTAGTACCTACCACCAGGCTCACCCATCCCCCCACATCTCCTCTCCAAAAACCTCAGTTTGTTTCTCAGAATCCACAGTCTCTCATGCTTCATCTCCCCCTCCAGTTTACCCCAATTCACTTCTCCTTTCCTTCTCCTAATGTCCTTCATGTTGTTCCTTATAGTCCACAAGTCAGTGAAACCATATGATAACTGACTTTCCCTGCTTGACTTATTTCACTCAATATAATCCCCACCAGTCCCGTCCATGTTGATGCAAAGTTGGGTATTCATCCTTTCTGATAGAGGCATAGTATTCCGTTGTATATATGGACCATATCTTCTTTATCCGTTCGTCTGTTGAAGGGCAACTTGGCTCTTTCCACAGTTTGGCAACTGTGGCCTATCCTGCTATGAAAACTGGGGTACAGATGGCCCTTCTTTTCACTACATCTGTATCTTTGGGGTAAATACCCAGTAGTGTAATTGCAGAGCCGACATCATTGAGTTAGAAACTAGAGATACAGTAGAACACATCAATGAAACCAGAAGCTGGGATTGTGAAAGAATTAATAAGATTGATAAACCATTGGCCAAACTAATCCGAAAGAAAAGAGAGAGGACCCAAATTAATAAAATTATGAATGAAAGGGGAGAGATCATGACTAACACCAAGGAAATATAAAAGATCACCAGAAATTATTATCAACAGTTACATGCCAATAAGTTAAGCAACCTAGCAGAAATGGATACATTCCTGGAAATCTATAAACTTCCAAGACTGAAATAGAGAAATTGACAGCCTGCATGGACCAATATCTAGTAATGAGATTGAAGCAGTGATCAAAAACCTCCCAAAAAACAAGAGCCCAGGACCCAACGGATTCCCTGGGGAATTCTACCAAACATTCAAAGAAGAAATAATACCTATTCTCCTGAAGCTGTTTAAAAAAAAAAATAGAATCAGAAGGAAAACTTCCAGACACTTTCTATTATGTCAGCTTTATCCTGATCCCTAAACCAGGCAAGGACCCCATCAAAAAGGAGAATTTCAGACCAATATCCCTGATGAACATGGATGCCAAGATCCTCAACAAGATCCTAGCTAATAGGATCCAACAGCACATTAAAAAGACTATCCACCATGACCAGGTGGGATTTATCCCTGGGATGCAAGGGCGGTCCAACATTCACAAATCAATGCGACAAAACAAATCAATAAAAGAAGAGAGAAGAACCACATGGTCCTCTCAACTGATGCAGAAAAAGCATTTGACAAGATACAGCACCCGTTCCTGATTAAAACTCTTCAAAGTATAGGGATAGAGAGAACATTCCTCAAACTCATAAAATCTATCTATGAAAAACTCACAGCAAATACCGTTCTCAATGGGGAAAAGCTGACGGCCTTCCCTTTGAGATCAGGAACACGACAAGGATGCCCACTCTCACCACTGCTGTTCATCATAGTACTAGAAGTCCTAGCAACATCCAGACCCTTGGCCAGTCCTAGAGACCGCCAGCTAGCACACACACCAAGCTCTCTCAAGTGGGGGCGGGGAGTGCACTCCGACCCTGGTCTCACAGTGTGCATAAAGCGCAAAAGGCTGTGGATCAAGAAAGCGTCAGCTGGCTCCCACACCAGGCTCTCTCACACATGGGTGGGACTGAGCCCAGCCAAGCAGTGCTGCACACAGTACAAAGCTGGGGGTTCAGGGACCAGGAACTGGAGGCTCTACTGCACTCTCTCTGGCATGGGTGGTCACTGGTGGTGACCATCCTGGGTCGTGGGTTTAGGCCCGTGCCTGTGACCGCCCTATTCCACCAGTTGCCCCTTAACATCTTTAGCTCTTTTTGAGTGCTTTTAACCAGACTCCAAGTTCATGCTGCTCCCCAACCACAGGACACTTTCGTATTGGGGTAATATTTCCCAATGGGTCACTTCTGCTGACTCTCTCCCCCTTCTGTTTATCCTCCGATATCAGTCTGAGCATTCCCACTCGGCTTTACATCTCCACAGATGTCTTCTGCCCCTGTAGAGATCCAGAAGTGTATAATCTTACATCTCAGGTTGATTTCACTGGTGTTCAGAGTGTTCTGGTGGCTATTTAGCTCACTTTAGGGGACTGGTTGAAGCAGGGTCTCCTACTTCTCTGCCATCTTGCCCCTCCTCCTCTCTGCTTTTTTTTTTTTATTTTCAAAGAATCTTTTCATACCATGTCCAATTTTACATGAATAACAGATTTTGGAGCTCTTGAGTTTTCTCACCCTCTCTCTACCTATTATTTTATGGTAGTAGTTTTAGCTTCTAAGCTGTACGGTTGTTCCTCCTCTTGTAAGTTTGATGAACTATATTAACTCAGAGGTGAATGGAGACTTTTTATTGAAACTCTGTTTGAGAAGTCAGTTGCATTCACATGTACAGTTTCTAAAAGTGTATGTGGTTGGGGCAGGGAAGTCACACTTTTTGCAGAGTCTCAAATTCTTAGAGTACTGAAGTGAAACGAGAATGTGCTGAATGGGTCCTAGAGGCTTAGTGTAAGGAAGGGGCTGCCTGAGACCCCCATGAGTGTGCCGCCCTTCCCTGGATTACTAATTCCACATGCTGAGCCTCCATTCATGCACATTCCAGAGCTCTCTTCGACCTTCAGCCCCTTGCATGTTCTCGTTCTTCTGCCTCTGCCCAGAGTCCTCTCCTCCAGATTCATATCTCAACCAAGATGTCCTCTTCTCTCGAGGGCTTCTACGTCTCCAGTATTCATCCTACTAATATATACTTTGTTCTCTACCACATTATCCTGGCTTATTTTCATCCTATCCCTGGTCAGTTTGAAATTACTTCTCTTGTTTGTTTGTTTCTGCTACACAATTCTGATTTGCTTATTTTTTTCTCTTCCTTAAAATGTCAGTTCCATGAGAGAAGGGACAGGAGTATATCCCCATATCCACATATATAAGAACATACCTGCCACATAGTAGGTGCTCAGCAAACACTCATGTAATAGATAAATAATGTGGATGCCTCACTGGAGACTGTCACATGTCAAGGTGGTCTCTGCTGCCCAGCAGGTCACAGAAACTCTGGTTTTATTTTTTTTTCTGAAATTAATTCCATATCAGCCTGAGTCATGCTCTTTCTGGTGGTCCTGGGCCATCTGACTTTCTTCTACATCATCTACTTCGTGGAAGGCCATTTGGTCCCAAACAGTAAGATCTTTGTGATGTTCTATCTGTTAGCAGGCCTGATCCAGGTAAGGATGGTTATAACAGTATCAAAGCAGGACTCAGTGGTTAGCCAGCAAGATTTGTCTCCCTGGGAAAGATGTTGTGGAGATAAGGTCGGGGTTTCCTGGACATGGCATGGTACAGCCCCCATCTTCCAAGAGTCAACTTGTTCAAGCACAAAGGCAGGATCCAGACAGAGAGGCCACTCCACACTCTGTGCTGCACACTTCCCCCTGCACATTCCACACAGCACATGCTACACTGCACACTTCATAGGGTACAACCCCCACAGGGCACACTCCATACCACGTATAAAACACTGCACACTCCTCAGCAGAGGATCAGAGGATGGTCCTGAAGTGGTGGCAATTTTATGTGAAGCAGGTTGATGAGTGGGTCCAGCTGGGGAACAGGGCCATGCACACCATCCATCACAGACAGGGTGGGCAGAGACCAGCCCCCTGCTGGAGTGTTGCTGAAAAGCATGCATGGACTTCAGTCAGGACTGGATGATGATAGAGACATGATGAAAGAGATTAAGCTGGTGCCTGCCTCTGTAGTACTCAGCAGACTGTCTGCCCAGACTAGCTGGCTGATGTCCCTTGTGGGACCAGGTTGTTGGCAGAGAGGACTGTGGGCACTGATGGGCAATTCTAAGAGGACAGTGCTACAGCGAGGTACTGACATGTTCAAATCTCCCTGAGTTAGGGCATTTGCGATTGTAGCATATCTCTGACCCTGAAGGTTGGACTGGGAAGCTCTGAGACACTGTTTTGAGCAGGAGCAAGGAGCTCAAGTCTGCCTGGAACAGGGGACTGAGGAGCCCTGAAATGAGGCCAGGACTGTGCTCACTACCCTGTGGCACTTTCAGGAAAGTCTTACCTCCCAAAACTGCCCATACAAGGACCTCCAGCAAATCCAAACTGAAGTCCCAATAAGGCCTATGTCTTGAGTTTCCAAAGACCATGCAAGGAGCTGCTGTAGCAGAGATGGTCTGTCTGGCACCTCAGTTTGCCAGGAGCAGGGCCTGACCACAGAGAAGGAGGCTAGGCAAGTATGGGTAAGGGTAGACTTCCTGCCTCTGCATGAGCTCAGAGCTGGGCATTGACCCCAAGGAAAGCTGGAGGAAGGGGACTTCTAGGAGTGGACAAGTCCACCTTGGAATCCACCTTTGAAATTTGCTAGTGTTTCTTGGTGACACTTGGCTTTCTGATTTGGTTGTAATTTTTTGTGTCTGCTTGCCCTTATGCCGGGTGACAATTCTACTGTACCTGGCAGAAGTAATGGTTCAGCTGACATGGCACCAGATCCTGGATCCAGACAACCACTGTATCCCCTATCTCACACAGTTGGGGGACCTCCTAGGGAGGTCTTCTGACCTCCTGACACTCTGCTTTCTTATCAGCTGGTTAATGAGCAGTGAAGCAAGGCTGGATGGCTTCTCAGAACCAGCATCTGGGGCCTCCCTAATGAGCCCAGGCAGCCTCAGTTGCTCAGTGGAGTTTTCCTTCATACTAGCAGGGTACAGAAAGCAGTGTCTCCCTGCCTGGGTCCTCTGGAAGGATGGTTGACACCCTGCCTCTGCAGTGGTCCTTTGTCAGTCTGCTAAGGACATTAACACACGTCTTGACTCTGGAGTTGGAATCTGAGCCTATGAAGGTGAGGGAGGACTGAAATCAGAAGCATTGTTTGTGCGTGAATGTGACTGCACGTTCCTGGACTTAAGTGCACACCCATGTGCTTGATGAGTGCAAAGAGTACGGAGGTGTGTGTAGAGAACAGGGGACTCTGACCTGAAGATGCTGAAGGAAGAGACATGTCCAGTGGACATGGGAGATATGCTGGCACTATTCTGTGCCCATGCAGCCTGGATTGGGGAGGAGCAGGAATGAGATGCCTTCTTTGCCCAAGCCCCAGGACTGAGCTGTGGCTTAAGCACAGTCTTCACCAGGTCCAAGCATTGTGGGCCATTCTGCTGGTGTGCCTGCAAATGCACAGCCGTTCCCAGGACAGCCCTTTCTTGCAAATCCTTCATCTGCTCCCAGTATTTAATCCTGTTGATTTTTTTCTCCTTTTCTTCTTTTTATATTTACGTGAAAATTCTGTTTAGAGTTTAATGATCAGAGAAGTATAAAATAAAATATACATTATATTATACTTGGCCTTTGTGTCCTTAAAGATATTTCATGCCACCATGAGACTTGGGGTTTTTAGGTAACAAAATCTCTGTTGTTTCTCTAGTGGTATCTGTTTCTCAAACTGTGCTCTCCAGCATAGAAGCATCAAAATCATAGGAAATCTTGTTAGAAATGCAAGTTGTTAACCCGCCCTCACTTAGGCCTGCCAAATCAGCCTGTCTTGGGGTGGAGCTCGGCAGTGTAGGATTAATAAGCTCTCCATGTTGATCTGATACATTCTCCTGTTTGAGAACCACTGCTCCAGAATGCCCTCACTTGTTTTTTCTTTTTTAAGATTTTATTTGTTTATTTGACATACAGTGTCATAGCAAGAGAGGGAACACAAGCAGGGGGAGTGGGAGAGGGAGAAGCAGGGAGCCAGGTGTGGGGCTCTATCCCAGGACCCTGGAATCATGACCTGAGCTAAAGGCAGACACTTAACGACTGAGCCACCGAGGTGCCCCATGCCCTCACTTTTTAAAATAAGTATTTACTTCCTATTTCTTCTTTTCTTTTAAAAATTTATTTTATTTATTTATTTAGAGAGAGTGCACAAGTGCGGGGAGTGGCAGAAGGAGAGAGAGAATCTCAGACAGTATGCTGAGCCCGGAGACCAACACAGGGCTCAATTACATGACCCCAAGACCATGACTGGAGCTGAAATCAAGAGTCAGATACTCAACTGACTGAACTATTCAGTCTCCCCTATGTCTTGTTTCTTATTAACTCATCATAACAACTTTATTTTTTAATATATTTTTTATTATGTTATGTTAGTGGCCATAGAGTACATCATCAATTTTTGATGTAGTGTTCCATGATTCATTGCTTGCGTATAACACCCTGTGCTCCATGCAATATGTGCCCTCCTTAATACCCATCACTGGGCTCACACATCCCCCACCCGCTTCCTCTCTAAAACCCTCAGTTTGATTCCCGGAATTTGTAGTCTTTCATGTTTCATGTCCCCCTCTGATTTCCCCCCACGCTCATTTTTCCCTTCTTTCTCCTAATGTCTCCATGCTATTCTTTATGTTCCACAGGTAAGTGAAACCATATGATAATTGTCTTTCTCTGTTTGACTTACTTCACTTAGCATAATCTCCTCCAGGTCCATCCATGTTGTTGCAAATGTTGGGGTTTCATCCTTGCAGATGGCTGAGTAATAGTCCATTGTGTATATTAACGATATCTTCTTTATCGATTTGTCTGTTGAAGGACATCTTGGCTTCTTCCACAGTTTGGCTATTATGGACATTGCTCCTTTGAACATTGAGGGGCATATGGTCCTTCTTTTGATTACATCTGTATCTTTGGGGTAAATGTCCAGTAGTGCAATTGCTGGATCATAGGGTAGCTCTATTTTTAAATTTATGAGGAAACTCCACACTGTTTTCCAAAGTCACTGTACAAGCTTGCATTCCCACCAACAGTGTAAGAGGGTTCCTCTTTCTCCACATCCTCTCCAACATGTGTTGATTCTTGTCAATTTTTGCCATTCTAAATGGTGTAAGGTGGTATCCCTATGTGGTTTTGATTGAATTTCCCTGATGGCTAATGATGAGGAATACTTTTTCAGATGTCTCTTTGCCATTCGTATGTCTTTGGAGAAATGTCTGTTCATGTCTTCTGCCCATTTTTTGACTTGATTAGTTTTTTGGGTGTTGAGTTTGAGAAGTTCTTTGTAGATCTTAGACACCAGCCCTTTATCTGTAGTATCATTTGCAAATATTTTCTCCCATTCTGTGAGTTATCTCTTTGCTATGTTGACTGTTTTGTTTGCTGTGCATAAGATTTTTATCTTGGTGAAGTCCCAAAAGTTCATTTTCACTTTTGTTTCCCTTGCCTTTGGAGATGTGTCTTGAAAGAATTTTCTTTGGCTGATGTTGAAGAGGTGACTACCTATGTTCTCTAGGATTTGGATGGACTGCTGTCTCACACTGAGGTCTTTCACCCATTTTGAGTTTATCTTTGTGTATGATGTAAGAAAATAGTTGAGTTTCATTCATAGTACATAGCTGTCTAATTTTCCCAGCACCATTTATTGAAGAGACTGCCTTTTTTCCATTGGACATTTTTTCTTGATTTGTTGAAGATTAGTTGACCATAGAGTTGAGGGTCCATATCTGGGCTCTCTATTCTGTTCCTTTGATCTATGTGTCTGTTTTTGTGCCGGTACCATGCTATCTTGGTGATCATGACTTTGTAATATAGCTTGAAATCGGACAACATGATTCCCCCATCTCTTTTTTTTTTTTTTCCTCTTTTTCAATACTTCCTTGGCGATTCAGGATCTTTTCTGGTTCCCTACAAATTTTAAGATTGTTTGTTCCAGCTCTTTGAAATTGCTTTTGGTATTTGGTCAGGATGGCATTGAAAGCGCAGATTTCCCTGGCAGCATAGACATTTTCACAATGTTTATTCTTCTAATCCATGAGCATGGAATGTTTTTGCATCTTTTTGTGCCCTCTTCCATTGCCCTCATAAGTATTTTGTAATTCCTAGGGTATAGATCCTTTACCTCTTTGGTTAGGTTTATTCCAAGGTATCTTATAGTTTTTGGTGCTATTATAAATGGAATCAACTCTCTAATTTCTCTTTCCACAGTTACATTGTAAGTGTATAGGAAAGTAACTGGTGTCTGTCCATTGGTTTTGTATCCTGCCACATTACTGAATTGCTGTATGAGTTCTAGTAATTTGGGGATGGAGTTCTAGTAATTTGGGGGTGATAGTTGCTGTGGGCTTTTCATAGACAATTTTATGATATTGAGGTATGTTCTCTCTATCCCTATATTTTGAAGAGTTTTAATCAAGATGCTATTTTTCGTCAAATGCTTTTTATGCATCAGTTGAGAAGATCATTATGATTCTTGTCTCTTCTCTTGTTAATATGGTCTATCATACTGATTGATTTGCAAAAGTTGGACCACCCTTGCTTCCCAGGAATAAACTTCAACTGGTCATGGTGAATTGTCCTTTTAATGTACTGTTGGATCCTATTGTCTAGGCATTGTTGAGTATTTTGGCATCCATGTTCATCAGTCATATTGATTTGTAATTCTCTTTTTGGGTGGGGTCTTTGCCTGGTTTTGGGATCAGGGTAATGCTGGCCTCATAAAATAAGTTTGGAATTTTTCCTTTCATTTCCATTTTTTTGGAAAGACTTCAGTAGAATAGGTATAATTTCTTCCTTAAATGTTTAGTAGAATTCTCCGGGGAAGCCATCTGGCCCTAGACTCTAGTTTTTTGGGAGATATTTGATTACTGTTCCAATTTCCTTGCAGTTATTGTTTTGTTCAGATTGTCTGTTTCTTCCTGTTTCAGTCTTGATAGTTTTTAAGTTTCCAAGAATGCATGCATTTCTTCCAGATTGCCTATTTTGTTGGCATATAGCTGCTGGCAATGTTCTAATAATTCTTTCTATTTCCTTGGTATTGGTTGTGATCTCTCCTCTTTCACTCATGATTTTATTAATTTGGGTCCCTTTTCTTTTCTTTTGGATACGTCTGGCCAGAGTTTTATTGATCTTATTAATTCCGTCAAAGAACCAGCTTCTAGTATTTTTTTAAGGTTTTATTTATTTGAGTGAGAATGAGAGAGAGAGCACGAGAGGAGTAAGGGTCAGAGGGAGAAGCAGACTCCCAGCTGAGCAGGGAGCCTCATGTGGTATGCGATCCCAAGACTCCAGGATCACAGCCTGAGCCGAAGACAGTTGCTTAACCAACTGAGCCATCCAAGCGTCGCCCAGTTTCTAGTTTTGTTGATCTGTTCTACTCTTCTTCTAGTTTCTATTTCATTTATTTCTGCTCTAAACGTCATTATTTCTCTTCTCCTGCTTGGTTTAGGTGTTATTTGCTGTTCTTTCTTCATATCCTTTAGGTGTAAAGTTAGCTCGTGCATTTGGGATTTTTCTAATTTTTTGAGAGATGTTTGGATGGCTTTGTATTTCCCCCTAAGGACAACCTTTGCAGTATCCAATAGGTTTTGAACCTATGTGTTTCATTTTCATTGGTTTGTATGAATTGTTTAAGCTCCTCTTTAATTTCCTGGTTGACCCATTCATTCTTTAGCAGGATGCTCTTTAACCTTCAAGTGTTTGAGCTCCTTTTAAATTTCTTCTTGTGGCTGAGTCCCTGTTTCAAAGCACTGTGGTCTGAAAATATGCAGGGAATAATCTCAGTCTTTTGGTATTGGTCGAGACCTGATTTGTGGCCCATTCAGTATGTGATATATTCTGGAAAAAATTCTGTGTACACTCAAGAAGAATGAATATTCTGTTGTTTTAGGATGAAATGTTCTGTATATATCTATGAAGTCCATCTGGTCCAATGTGTCCTTAAAAGCTCTTGTTTCTTTGTTGACCTTCTGCTTAGATGAAATGGCCATTGCTGTGAGTGGAGTTTTGAAATCTCCTACTATTAATGCATTATTATTAATATGATTTTTTATTTTGATTATTTAGTTTATGCAATTACCTGCTCCCATGTTGGGGGAATAAATATTACAATTGTTAGGTCTGCTTGTTGGATAGACCCTTTGAGTATGATATATGTATGGGTCCTGCCTTTTTATCCAAACTGAAACCCTGTGTCTTTTGATTATTGTTGTTCACATTGATAGTAACTATTGAAAGATAAAAATTTAGTGCCATTGTATTGCATGAAAAGTCCCTGTTTCTATTGATTGTCTCTGTTAATTTCTGGTTTATATTAC